TACTCATGGATGGCATCTCAGGTTTTTGAGCATAGTTCTTTGCCTTTTTCATTTGTAATGAGCACGTTTCAAAAATCACAAGTATTTCAAAATGTTGCAAAGTTTGTTTTGACAGGAGCGGAACATCTCTAGAAGGGAGGAATGCTTTAATCAGTATTACCCCTTTGAGGCCCGCGTTGTGCTCTGATATCTCGTGGTCTGAAACTGGGAATACTCCTGTAAAGATACGATAAAGGTCAGAATTTGTTAGGTTCTTTCATATTCAGAACTCTGTTCCCTGCTGTGAGAAAGAAAAGTGATAGATTCAGAAACACTGTTAGCTCAGTATTAAAGATTAGCTGGAAGGTGCTGGTGAAGGTGGAACAATGAAAGCATTCCTTATCACTGCTTCTTGTACTTTGCAGCCAAATATGGCTATGGAGTTTAATTTCAAGAGATGCTTATTTTTTATAGCATTTTAAAAAAACGAACCTAAAGAGCCTATTAAAATATTTGGAAATATTCTGCCCTGATTTCAGTCTAATGACAATCTGCCTAAAGGCGTGGGAGGCTGCTGCTGCAAGAGGCTCGTCTGTGGTACGCTGAATTCAGTGAATGAGGCGCTTGGTAGAGCCTCCCGAAAGCATGAATCGGATTTTCTCCTGTTTCTGCCGATGTGCAGCTAAGGATGAGTTTCATGGGAAGCATTGATCCCTGGCTGAACTGTGTTTGCACAGGGAGAAGCTCTGTATAGAAAATAACGATCGTGTGTGTGCCTGTGCTAATAACCTGGCCACCGTCACTTTCACAGTAACAAACCTCTGCTTGAAGCTGAAAAATGTTTTTAAAACGGGTGAGCATGATCTTCCCCGCGTAGTGAAGGACTTGCCGAGTTCAGAAGCTCTTTACCTGGCTGTTTCTGTGGCAGCTGTGGGAACTCGGCTCAGAGTGCCTATGCACGCCGGTTGCTGTAGTCGCACAGGTAGGGTTTTTAATTCAAACTGTATATGAGAGGAAAGGAATTTGGATTTTATTTCTGGAATAACTTTGCCTTTGCCTCTGTGTTTTCCTGGTGAAACAAGAGACTCTGCTCTTAATCTAACTCAGAATAATTAGCATTTCCCGAGCTTGGGTGTTGCAGAAACCCCGGAGCCGTTCTGGTCCGTGTGGGTGTTGTAGCTGTGCACGCAGGCAGTGCTGGGGGGAGCAGGGAGAAACGTTGTTCTGCTGTTGCTGAAGCACACTGATATTCAAGTGAAGTGTTTTGACTTTCAGGAATAGAACGGGAAGATGCTTACTTAGTCATAATCCTCTCTACTGTTTCGCGACCTTTATAACTTTAAAGGCATTACTCTACCAGCTGGTGATTAATATTGAATCTGAACAATATTTTGTATTTTCAGCAGGGCAAATACCAAAGAAAATCTCTGATTAATAGTCTCCGATTAGACTGTTCTTGTCAAATTGACTAATGTAATGCAATGGTGAGCCCTGACTGATTGCACTGGAAGCCTTGTGTGGTTTTCTAGAAGATGCTCATTACAGGAGATTCCTGCGTAATGTTGGACAGGCCATAAAGAGAATTGGGCTTGTCAGTCTTTTATCATGACAGTTATTTAAAAATTAATGCATCAGTTTTGAAACGCAGAGACCTGCTTGTTCGTACATTTGCTGACAACACTAGAGTAATGATAGGTAAATGTGCAAGGTAGACTTCATAAAATCAGCTCAGGCGTGGACTGCTCCACAGACCCATTAATGTAATGGAACAGACTAACGCACAGAAAATCAAATACGGACTATAATGCACTCAGCCGTATTATAAACGCTGTCATTCTGCTTTGATCGAAGGTCATTTTAAGGTATTATCTGAAACGACAATTTTAGCCTACCAAACAGACCCCTGCTAATGTGGAAGGCAAGGCCATAACTTTAAAGCCCTCACGTTATTGTTTGCTCTGAGCTTGTCACGCAGTGACCCAGAATAACTGATGGCCAGAACAGCTACGGCTGGGGCCGCCCCTGGCACCAGCACTCTGAAGCACGGAGACTTCGGGGAGCAAGAGCGGGCATGGTCTTCGCCTTCCCTCCTGCCAGTCGCGTGCTGCTGTCCGCCCGTGCTCAGCTCCTGTGCTTGCTGGCAGGGAAGGGCTAGCATCTCTTCTGCTTCGTCTGCTCTGTTAGCTCTCCTGGCGGATTTGGGAAAAGCAGCAGCGCTGAGAAGTTGAAGGTAGGGAAGTGTCTTACACACTGGTGCTCAGTGGGGACTTCCGAAACTGCCTTCAAGAATTTCACATAATGAATCACCGTTCCTTCTGCAGCTGCATATTTTTAAGCAGGAAAATGAATCAGTGCTATTCCAACCAAGTCAGTTCTTCTACAGAAATCTGGCAAATGTGTGGGAATTACTTGGAGAGCTGTTCCGTCCATTGTGTGCATCTTGCATGCACATGGGAGAGATCCATGGAAAGCTGCCTTGGATTCTTTGAAGGAGTCCTGTCTGCTTTTGGTGTTCTCTGAAGTTGCTCTGTGCAGTCTGTTAAAAATTATTAACTATTAACAGAACTCTGGTCTCATCCATACACAGAGGCCTTTCACTGGCAATCACAGCCAGCCAGGTCTGGGACAGTGTCGGTCTGGCATGCTCCTAGGCGGGATATGATATTACTGACCATGGAAATATAATAATCTCCATGTGCTATTTTTCCTGTATTGTAGTTTGTGTAGAATTGGCAAAAATGTAATTTCTCATTAGGGTACTCTTCACCTTGAAAGTGAAGTAATTTCTTATTTGAATGACCTGCAAGCACAAGCTGAGCTTATCATATAGGGCAGCTGATTACTGAAAGTCCCGGGGGACCAAATAAATGAGCCAGGCAGGGAAGTGGTCCCCTTTCTCGGTTACTTGGTCTATTTTGGGAAGTAGAGTTTTATGTGTGTATTCCTGTAACATCTTATGTTTCACACCGTTGCCGTAGGATTAATTTCACATTTTATGCTACATTTCTGAATAGCTCTGAGTAAAAATTGTTGAGGTGCAGTAGACTCAAGGTTTGGGCTTATAACGGCATGACAGAAATGTAGCATAAAGATTGAAGGGTGGTGGGGTGGGGGGTGGATGTTTTTGTTTTGAGGGAAGCTGCCTAGTTTTCACTCCAGAGAAAGAAAAAGCCTTGAGTATTTAAGGTGGAGTAGCTGGTGCAACATGATCCCAGTTTACCCCACAGAAAACTTGGGGCTTCAGAATGCTGATAGGGTAGAGACTTCAGTAATGGGGTACGCTGGGAGGATCTGGTGCGTAGGGCATCCATGCTTCCAGCAAGATGTACGTAAGGGGGGGGATGTTGGGGATGCTTTGGAGTAAATTGGGTAAGTGGGTGCTAGCATTGACAGGAGTAATTTCAAATCGATGCTCTTTGTTTTGACTACATAACCTAAGAGAAGATTTCTGTATTTCTCTGATTTCCAGCTTCTGTTCAGGTGCTGATGCACTGAGATCGGGTATTGTCTGACTCCTCGGGTGCTGCCCCACGTCTCGCTCTTCCTCTGTGTCTCGGTTTATATGCGTGTTGTAAATTCTTTGGGGCTGTAAACATCTTTTTGTCCTGTGAGGACAGGCTTTGTATGGTGCCTGTATCAAAGGGGTCCTGGCCCGGGTTTGGGTTTTCTGGATGACAGAGGCATGCAGTCAAGACTTGGACTCGGGTGTATTCTTAGCATGGCGTGGTCTAAGCTGGAGGGACCCCACCTGATTTTGTTCAGGTGTTGCACTGACGACAGCAGCTTTGTGCTGGGTCATCTGTGCACTCGGCAGGGGTTGACTTTTGCCTTTTGGGAAGCTGTTGCTTTCTGCCCCAGAACTCATTTGTTTCTGACAGTGTGCCAAGCCCTTAGGAGCACCGGGGGAAGGTGGTGGCTGGTCTTCCCCCTCCGCCTCTAACGCCATCCTTCGTCTGCTTATTTATTGGTCCTCCAGCTGTCTGCAGTCAGCACTTCAAATGGAGAAATCGTAAACTGAATGTTTCAGGCAAATTAAACATTTGCCATCTTGTGAGGAAGGGTCTTTAATTAGGAGAAGGATACACTGGAACGCCAAAAAAAAAAAAAAAATTGACAGGGGATGGGCAAGCAGGGGAAGCAGGAGAAAAGAGAGCATATAAAGTCCTTGGATGTTTTAATAAATGATGTATCTGAGGATTATTTGATGTAGTTGAGACTGCCAGGATGTCTTGTATTTTCAGTACCACAACTGAAACTTATTTAGGATTTAAAAAAAGAACCTTTTTGAGGTAAGGAATTTATTAATAATTTCCTGTAACTCCTGTCCAAAATGCTGGAGTAAATTTCTTTTGATAAAATACAGACTTCTGGAAGTACATAGAAATCCCACAGCTTCTGACGTGACTGCAAGTTGGAGCAGTATCTTAAAGTTTGGAACAATTATCTTGGTTCTTTCAGAAAGTTTTTGAATACCTGTCTGGTGCTGGGCTCGTTACTTCCATTTCTCTGCTGCGGTGAACGGTCTCCTGAACCCTTCAGAAGGGTCCCCCGTCATGTCTGGAGCCGCTCTGTCGCGCTGCGGGTGCGGCGCGCGTCAGGTGAACGTTAGTTGATACGCTGTCACGGGATTCGTGTTTTAGCAGAGCACATTCGTGACATCTGACTTGCAGTTTCAGTGCTGTGGAGTGAACCAAAGGAGGGTGATCCGTTACAATTGCTCCGTCCGTCTGCGACGCTCTGAAGGTACTTGGAAGACTGGAAGGGGAAGAAAACGTTCCTCAAATTTCAAAAATACAGAAGACATTTTCAGTAATGTTCACCAGTCCTCTGTCTCTCTATGCGATGATATATTTGGTTCTACGCCTTCAAAACCATGATTCGTTTCCAAATTTTTGTGCCGCTCTCTTCTAATTAGCTGTTTGTGCTAAACCTAATCCTTTAACGAAGTCAAACTTCTGCATAATACTGGTTGCACGGTCACTTTTTAAGATGGTAACTCCTTGTTTGTTTGTTTCTTACAGTGGGAACTCCATACTATATGTCCCCAGAAAGAATACATGAAAACGGCTATAACTTTAAATCTGATATCTGGTCTTTGGGCTGTTTATTGTATGAGGCAAGTATCTTCTAACCTTTTTTTTTCCCCAGGTTTGTCTTAACCACACAATACGGTACAGGAATTGAGTAGGTCAGCCTTACTTTATCTTAATTGTTGAGAAACCTTATGAAAAGTTAACTCTTTGTGTGCTCATCCTGTGCTTTTTGAGCGTGAACAACAACGGGGTTGTGCCGTACAGCACGGTACTTACGCAAAGTGAATTCAGTAGGTCACACTCGGTGCTGAGGGTATCGGCATAAACAAGCCAGCTTCCCGCATTCTGTCTTCCTACTGCCAGCAGAGCTGTTATTAGGGCAGCATATTCATAGTTTCTCCTGAATACTGCATTTGTTTTAAAAACAGCAAATTAATTTGAATGTAAGCTTCTGGTTTGTTAAATTGAATTCTGACCAAATGGAATGTTTTAATTTTGGGAGCTTTCAATAAAGAAAAACAGTTTTTAGTAATGTGCAATCAGTTTCTCTAACTTAGACAACTCTTATTAGACTATAGCTGGATTTTTTTCTAATTGTATGTTGTCTTCTAGCCACACACAGAGATACAGAGCAGGCACACTTTGTATGAACTGCACACTTAGTGTGAGCTTTTAATAAAAAGCTACTACATATATTTTGAAAGTAAGTGCTTTTTGTAACAGTACTTTGACTTTTGTGATTTCATTTTTAGCAGGGATGAAAGGGTATTGAACAGTCTTGTACTCCTTTATAATCTAACCTAAATCTTTTTTTAAATGTATACATCTTTGAATTCAAGTGAAAGTGCATGTCAACATTTAGAAAGCTTTTATCCCAGCCCAGAGGATTAAAAATCCCTGGGATATTTAGTAATGAGACTATTGCTCACATCCTCTTTGGTAACAAATCATGTGAAGTGATGACATGTTGCTTCTCACTACAACTTCTCGTAACCACATGGAATTACAGAATAAACAGAAATGTAATTTATTTTGTGAGCACATCAGATGTGAAAACTACTATAGTTAAGCATGTACTTCAGCTAGTTGATTAAACAAACCTTTCAGGACAAGACGGTGTAAAAGTAACTTTTCCCGTAACTTGTCACTGTTGATGTGTTTTGGGGAGGAATACTCGCCTAATACAACCAGCGCTTGGTCCGCGAGGTAACCTGCTGTCGGTGGTGTGCTGCCAAGCCCGGAGTCGTGCAGTTCGATAGGTGCTGACTTACTGTTGGCGGAGTGGGAACGTGCCATGTGGTGTGCATCTTCAGAGAGAGAGATGGGTGCTGGAAACCTGGTGAAACGAATGGATAAACTCCTGCTAGAGGGACGCCAGCAGTCCTGGGGGCTCGACTCTAACAGCCCTTCGCTTCTTGCGTGTAAGACAGCAGCACAGCTGGCCCGCATGCGGTTATGGACTTTAATGTGGTCCAAAAAATGCTCTTGGGGGTGAAACACCCCACAACTATTCATCCCTTTAATCCTCCTACCAGTGTCCTCCAAAGGCTGTATTTCCACCGTGACGTAAAGGCTCTTCAGACAGCCTGCTCACAGCTGCCGACTCTCCTCCGTACTTGGCGTGGCATAGAGTTTAATTAAGGAAAAAGATTTTATCTGGGTGTCTGGTGTAAATGCCCCGTAAGTTGTCACGAGCAGTGTCAAGTCCCAGCATTGGCCTTACTGGTATCAGAGGAAATAGCCACTAGATCTGCTGAAGGGAAGATCTACTTTGGTGGCGGCACTGGAGCCCGACGTGGTTGTGTCACTGATTAATTGGTAAAATTCCATGGGATAGGAGGAAGAGAAAGGGTGTAAGGCACCCTGCTAAGTACTTGATCAAAAATATTTGGAAAATTGTGAGCTTAAATTGACTGGTTTTGTGTCTATCCTCAAATTCTCATTACCTCCAGGAAAGAATTGAAGAGACTTTTAATAATTCCTGAAGCAGCAGCAGCAGCATACCGTTGAAAAGCCAGTATTTTTTACAAAGGATGGTTTTGCTTGTAATGCTTCTAATGAGATACTGAAAACTGGAATGGTGCAGTACAGCTGTATGTACCTGGGTCTGCTGGTGGCATTTGAAAAGGAATTTGGGGACTCTTCTGTGGGAACAGAGGGAAGGAAGCCTGGGCTCCCAGTAATTCATTACGCTGAACAATCCCAGGTACACTTCATGTATTAGGCCTAAAGAGGAATTCTCCGTTTAAGGCTTTGCGGAATTGAGGACCTTGGCCCCGCCGTGGTGTGCGGGCTTGCCAAGTCTGTCAGTAACAGTCAGAGTCGCCCGAGTTGGACACCGCTCCGCGTCCGCTGCCGTAGCGTGCAGCTTCCCTGTCAGGCTGCTCCGAGTCATTGCTGAGCTGAGCTCTGCTGGAGGTGGGATTCCAGATTTATGCAGAGAGAAATATTTAGCGTTGTGCTAAGATATGTTTTTGTTGCAGGCAATATGGTCCCCTTATGGCACAGTAGTCTTGGTACTCCTTATATTTCAAGAAGCTGACTTAATTGCGCACTAAACGTAATTCTCTGGTAGGAGTAGCCGTACTATAGTAACATGAGAAAGATTTGGCCTGTGAAGCGTTTTTAAATTTACTTCCTACGTAGGTAAGCCTTGACTTTGTGAACAGGAGCTGTGAGATCTTGCAAATTCCAAGGAGGACTGGACAGTTACCAATTTTGTGTTCAGTGGATAAACAGCTACTTGACTTTTTAAACTTTTTAGAATTTGGAAAATGAAAAATCAAATTCATATGTCTTTGAAAGAGCTGTATTTTATCTTCACTAATTTCTTGTAACAAGAATGTTTTTCCATTTGGCTTAAAAGTAAGGAAGCGATGTTTGGTTATGAGTCACTTCTGATATTTCTCCAGATAGATTGTGTAGATAAGCTGCAGAGAGATTTAATGTACAAATTGCCTTCAGAGACGTGCGTGTCCACTGGAATCCACCTCGGGCACACTGAGGGCTTGGGGATGTGATGCCACATAGCACCACTTAACTTTGACATTGGTAATCATACGGTGATTTTTATTAAATCTTATCAATATAGTAGGAACTGTCTTCATCCCTCACTTCCTGTAGATATCTGTCAGCAAGATAACTTGGAGGGGATAAAAATAAGTTGTTAATTCCCAGAATATAGCTACAAGCAATGACTTTAACAGTTCTGGCAAGACGATCAATTTAAACACTAACAGTGATTCCTATATATATGTATTTTTTAACCAGTCATACTGCATGGTGGTCATTTTGAATGGAGATCTGGCTGTCCTGCAGTAATTGCCCTAATCCAGATGTCAGGAGCAAACCCCGATGCAGCATCACAGACTGCTGTTAGTGAGGTCTTTGGAGCGCCTGTGGTCACGGACCCCGCGGGCCTGGCTGGTGTGGCCATCTCGTTCCATTTTAATTCCCTGCATTTACCACCCCAAAACCCCACGTTGTTTCCTTTTCGTTTCTCCTCTTTTGACATGACGGCTTAACTAGACTTGGAAAGAAAAGTTCACGGGGATTGAAAAATGCCTTTCAACCTTACTGGCATTATCGATGTTTGTATTGAAATCTCAGAGACCTAGTTTAACCCTTGGTTGCCTTCTGTGCCTTCCCTAATGCGCCCATTAGTGTTTTTCTTGGAACAGTCTTGCGTGCTGGGCTCTCCAGTTTTGTTTTAACTGATTGAGAGCAGTTTGCTATCAATCTCTAATTGGAGATTAGTGTCTCTTATTGGAGTCTGTAATTTTTTCCCCACTGATTTGCCTGTTACTGTTACGACAGTAATGAAGTAACGGCGATACAACTTCACCTTTTGCCTCCCAAAAGGCCCTCGCCCGGCCAGTGGGGCTGCCTTCACAAGCCTGTTGGGCGGCCCTTCAGCCTCGGGTCTGGAAGGGTACGAGGAACCGCTTAGCATTGCTACGGATAATAGTGGTGAAACCACAGAGAGGTAAAAGCGTGCCCGTTCCCCAGCCTGCTGTTTTGGGCAGCTGTTAAAGGTGTAATTCCTCTTCTCATTCAGCCTGCAGCAAAGCCCAGTAAATGTCACTAGCACAGCACATATCTCAACCTATGTTGCATGAAGTGTTGCAGACAGAAAACTGAAGAAGCCTGGAATTTTCCGAGATGTTTTTGGGAGCCGTGTACTCAGTTCATTGTCCTTCAGTGTAATTTGGGTACCTTCCTATATTCTGTATTGCCATTTATAAGCCTTGCTGGATATCTGATAAGTACCTCTGGAAGAGCTTCCTGAAAAATACTTTAGTCTGGTGGTACATAAGGAGATAACCTTGGAGATTTGGCCCGAATATATCTTATTACTTCTCATAACGGCTCAGAACTTGTTGCAGCGGGTCTCTCACCTCTGCGTGGCTGTGTTGCACAAGGTGACCACGTCCTACTGCTGGAGGTCCAGCCCAAACGCAGCATCTCAAAACCCTGCCCTAATCAAAACTACTTGTCTGTCACCAAATCACTAATAATCCATCAATCTTGATTACTAACTGCAGGATAATAGAGTGGAGGATCTAGTATTGACTTCTTTTAGTTCTGCTGGGAGCTTGCTGTGCGTGTCAGCAACAAGACAGCATCCTTCAGATGGCTTTCACAGCGCATGGTAATGAGCAAAAGACTAATTATCATCAAATAACCCTCTATTAAAGCCGTGGTGAGAAGCATCAACTTCGGCTGCCCTCAGTATGAAAAGCTTGCCGATTTGATGCGGCTTGTAGCAAAATGGTTTAAAAAGATCTAAACAGAGTGGATAATATCCACAATTATCCAGCGGCGCTTCATTAGGCGGCGGTACCGCCGTGCTGCGCGGGGCCGCCTCTGACAGCCACGAGCAGCACTTGAGTAGCATCCTGGGCTAACAGGCAGATGGGCCGGCACGGCCAGTGGCCACGGGTGGGTCTGCGGGGCTGGGCTCCCGCTCTGGGAAAGCGAGAGGGAAGGCGCTTAGCCCATCGTGTGTGCCTTCAATAGACACGACTCAGCCACGTTTCCGAAGTTCAAAAATGCCTGTGTTGCTGTGGCTGCGTTTCTGAGGCCCTTCGCTCAGTGTTGCTTTAGGCCTCCTGGTTGAGAACTTGCAGTGTAAATGGTTTGCCACGCACAAAGATGCCGTTTCCTTCCTGAGACTTAAGTATAATATAAACGTACATTTGTAAGGAGTCTCCACGTGCCCTGGAAGGAATTCTTCCCCACCCAGAGCCTTCCGTCGTGCTCTCCGTGCTGCGTGAACAGCCTGTTTATCTCAGACGTCTGTCATCTTTTTGGAGATGCAAATACTGGATTCATAGAATTGAAAGAGGAAAAAGACCAGATTGATTAGGAAAAGTTTCAGTAGTTTGGTTCCCAAATCTGCCCGGGATACTCTTTTCTAAATAGCAGATTGCCGGCGGGAGGGGATGTTTGTTTTGAGGTCGTTTTGGTTTTTTTTAAAGGCTGATATACGTTGTTCATGCTTATAAGATTCTTCATATTCTAGGTAGCTAAACGTCCAAAACTAATCCATTTATTCTTTGTAGCAGCCTATTAAGAATCTACCAGTGGCAGAGAGCAAATGAACTGAATTTGGTCGTAACTGAGGAAGACTGAAACCATGCCACGTTACCAAAGACAGAAGAGCTTCTGCTTTTTGGAGCGATGATTGTGTTTGAGAGGTTTTCATAGTCATCTGTGAGCCAGGTGGTTTCTAACCGATTGCCCTAGGGTCTGAGCATCCTTTTTTGTTTGTTTGGTTTTTGTTTTTTAAAAAGTACTTTTTCCTGTGTGCCTGTAGAATGGCCTGTATACACCCAGCGTCCCACATCCGAAACGTTTCAGGCAGAATCGCAGGCGGCGAGCCTGGCACCGGCCCTGCGGCGGCGCGCAGAGCTGTCGTCGCCTCGGAGCAGCTTTGGCTGTGGACGGTCTCGGAGAGCAGCAGCATCACTTGCTCACTGTCCAACAAAGTTGCTCTTGCAAATCAGCAGTACTGAGGGCTGTTAAATCCTCTGCGTTACTGAAATATCGTCTATTTATATTTTCTCTCCAGATGGCAGCTCTTCAGAGTCCTTTCTATGGAGATAAAATGAACCTGTTCTCTCTTTGCCAAAAAATAGAGCAATGTGACTACCCGCCTCTTCCAGCTGAACATTATTCTGAAAAGGTAAACTGGGAGCTTTTCGCAGGGGGTGCGGTGGGGTGCAGTGAGCTCCTCCCCGCCCGGGGAGAGGGGAGGCGGGAGGAGAAGCCCCCCGACCTCCAGGGCAGAACAGGAGGTGGCCAGGGTGTCCCGGGTACCTTCGGGGCTGGCTAAGGAATGTCGTCGTGATGTTGGAATATTGACAAGCTAAATTAAGACAGAAAAGAAGATTTCTCAGTGTGGGAAATATTTTGAAACTGGAGGTCTGTGACACTAGCAAAAAACAACGAACCGTGGGAAAGCCCTCTCCTTCGCTTCCTTTCCCTTGAAATAACATACCACGTAACAGCGCTTCAGTGTCTGTTTGTGAACTCTTCAGTGTGTAACAAGGCGGGGAAAGGTTCTTTTTAGAGAAAGGGGGGGAGCAAAGCTATTTAGTTTAATGCAATAAGCATCTATACAGTAGCCGTGCAGGGGCTTTTTAAAGTCTGGGTTTTGTGCCTGTGAAAGCGAGGGATCGAGAGCAGTAGCTGAACCAGTGTATTAAAAAAAAAATTGTCACTGTGCGTGCTTGCTCGATGATCATAGAATGGTTAAGGTTGGAAAAGACCCTTAAGGTCATCGAGTCCAACAGTTAACCCAGCACTGCCAAGCCCACCGCTAGTTTCACTTCAGCTGCAAACACGCGTGTTGTTTTTGTTCAGGGCCTTTTGAGACGGATTTTTTTATTTTCTTTTCCTACCTAGACAATCCAGCTGTTTTTCCTTACCTCCTCATTCAGTTACAGTTGCCTTCTATTTGAAAGGAAATGGCTAATATAATTTTAAATGTTCACCATATCCTTTGGGGGTTTTCTTTTGTTTTCTTCTACCTCCGAGTTCTGAGGAGCAAGGGGCAGGATGCAGGGGAAATACCGTACGCGGCCGGCAGCAGACGGTCTGGCCTCCACCCTGAGACGGACCCTGCACCACACATTTTTACATTTTGCTTAGTTTTTTTTACTTGCTAAGTAACTCATGCAAAAAGATTATTTGAGAACTGTTCTGGAAAAGTGGATTTTTTAATCACCCCCCCCCCAC